TAGCCAGCCGTATCAGACAATAAACTTTTATTCATTTCCACAAACAGTCAAAGTAAATGGCTTATATTCAGCAAACACAAGACTTCGGCTCAGCGCCTGTATACTAAGTCCCACCTCAGGGTTAGAGTCCCAGCCTCAGGGTTAGAGTCCCTGCCTGCGCACAGAGGGTTCCAGTATGGACGCAGGTGTCCCAGCAGTGTCTCGGCAGACTGTATTCTACAGCTTAACACACATAGCCATGTGTCCTGTTCCAAACACTCCACACAGCCAGACTGACTGGCTTCCTGTTCCTTTTTAACACACCCTCTGGCTGGTGGTTTAACCCTTTCATTACCAGAACTGGCTGTAGTCAGAGATGGAGGCTCTGAATACAAGGTGACTTTAACGGGACCACCACCTAAACAAGGGAGGGATATACCGTCCATCCAGGACCCATTCCTGGTGTCCTGTACAGTACATATATATATATAACGAAAGGAACGGTCAAAAACTGTCTGCGTGTGTTTTGTTCAATTAAAGGATTTCTTCCAAAAGTCTGGTGTCTTTATTTACTTTATCTTTAACCCTTTAGTGAATGAACGCGCTGAGGCTGTTCGGTTGAACCAAAGGGAGCTAATGCCAGCCGATGTAAGGCTGGAGTGAATAGCCGAACAGGGTTTCCTTCGTCAGCTTAGTTGATAACCCCCTAAAAGTTTGATTTGGTTTTAAAGTCAATGGCAACTATTTCTCAGCAAAGAAAGTCTAAAGCTGACCATACAGTTAGATTTTTTTTTTTAGGCTGTGGACTGAATGAAAAGAATTTAACAGATTCTTCCATCCACACTAAACAGCATGGATGGAGGAATCTCCCACTTTGGCCATTGTATGTCAGAATACCCAAACAGAGAACGCAGCTAATTGACTGCAGCCACTTTTTGGTCAAGAAACCTCCACCAGGCTCCTTTAGTTTTCTGAAGGATGTCAGGCAGGAGGCTACCGACAGTGCCACCCACTTCGCAAACACAGTGTATGGCCAGCTTAAAACAACCAAATTACTACAGAAGTTCTTCTGCACACACCCAGAAACTGGTAATATGACAGAGGATCTGGTTACAGATGCTACTATCCTTTGCTCACATGATGGTTACAGATGCTACTATCCTTTGCTCACATAACAATGGTCCATCTGATTTGAAGCTAATTTATGCATTGTGACAAATAAAATAATTAGCCAGGCCACAAGCCAAATATTCGCTGCAAACTGCAGCTTCTATGGATTGTATGCATCTTTATAAAAGTGTACAGACCACAGTGTTATAAAATTAGATTGTTACATAGACTCTTGATGTCTCAGAAACTCTCCAACAGTTATCAACTAGCATTGGTTCTCTAATATAACAAGCAGTATTAACCTTGACAGAATCGTACATGCAGAGCAAAAGCCTTATAAAGTGATGATGCTTCATAGATTCTCAGTAATCAGTAGGACATCCCTAGAACGCCGCTGTTTCCACTCATTTTCCCTTGGCCATTGTTGATTACAGAAGCATCAGATAG